CCCAGCCTATACATGGCTTGCATACTGACAAATTACTGTAATGGCATTTATGTATGTAGATTAAGCCTTCTTGTAACAAGATTGACAAACATGGACCACTACTGATACTCTACGTGAAGCAATTCCAACGGGCTGAGGAGAATCAGGAACTGGAAGGCAGAACTGCTGCTAGTACTGAATGAGTCTCTTTTTCACTATTCCTGACAAATTATCTGAAAGTGCTTTTGAACCCCTTCCTTCTTCAGAAGTCCACAGGGCGACAGCATCCAAGAGGCCTACTCCCATCCTCATTTATGGCTAAGTAAGTTTCTTCCTTTCTTCATAGGTACCAATCTTGCCGATTATACTACCCTTTTAACCTCCGAATACACTAAGACACAATATGAAAACACCATGTACTTCCCTCAGCACAAACTGGAGTAGATCCCTCCTTGCTGCCAGGTGAGGTAACATCTGCAGTAACACTTGTGGCGACTTACTATGAACTGTCCTGGCTATACAGGCATAAGTCAAGATACTCTTTAAGAGAGTTACATGATTGCTTTCTGAGGTAGCCTTGATCCCTTTCTGTGAAATATCCTTGACCTCAACTCTGGAGACATATTAACAGTATCAGCATCAGTGAGGTGTTCTTTCTCACTGCTAACTGCTTTCCTGCATTTTTCTTAACTCCTCACTGTTGCCTGTTTTCTCTTTTAAAGATTATTTTGCATTAAATAGAAAACAGAATTGACTTTAGTAATTTGTCCCTTCAAAATATCTGTCAGAAAAAAATCCAAATTAATGAAGGTCCTACTGTCATCTGCATACACATGGACCATAACACAATATGAGCATAAATACCTGACTTAATTGGATCAACATATAGGACTAGTACAGCTGATTTGCTTTTGCAAGAGCAAAAGTAGGTAAGGTTAAGACACAGAAATCTAGGTTCTATTTTGAAAATACAGTACAATCTGTGTGCTGTACTAGGCTCAATTTTCAGCTATGCTAAACACCTAGAGAGCAAGCTGAAATCAGCAGTAGCTCAAATACTGTGCTGTTAGGACCTCATAATAAAAGGCACTGAGTAACATCATGAACAACAGAATCATTCTGAGAGGTTCTCTTACACCCAGGGAGAACAAAATGCAGTATTTCTACAGCAGGACAACAGGTCTGCAACAAAATCCTTGAAGCACACATCATCCTGCAGATTTCACAAGAATAACCGTAGGGGACAAACCCAGGGTTATTTCAGCCCAGGACCTTGTTTCCAACAGCGGCCATTAGCAGATGCCTAAAGAAGACGGAGAACAGGGCAAACACATGATGTTTCCCTTAAGGACTCTCTCCTAAGCTAGAGGTAGTTTCTGTACTATGAAGTAAACCTCAGTGTCTCTCTCATATACTTGTCTCGCCTCATCCTCAATACATGTAAACTTTTAGCCCACTTCTCATTCTATAAAATGATTTTTTTTATAATGACCTACCTGAAATGGAAAGGCTAAAATAATTACGGAATGTAAAGAGCTTTAAAATTACTGGATGACAAGCTGACAGATGCATAAAAATCCAATTCATGTTCCCTCTCCTGACCCTACTAGCTGTTTGTTCACTTAACATAGCTCCATATCACACTTTATTTGCTTCATAAATTGGGTACCCTCGACACCAGCATTCTGCGCTATAATACAGTGAAAATTACAGTTAGTAAAAACTCTTATTAAAAAAGAATAAAATTGCTTTAGAAGGGTAGAATAACTCAAATGCAACTGTAAGAGACAGTCTCATAATTAGGTAAAAGACATCCTCCATTTGAGGCTGACACAGCACCAACAGGCCAAACCTAAAATATCATTAGAGGAAGCCGGCAAAAAAAAAAAAAAAAAACATGGAAAGCATCAGTATTTGAAAGCTGAAATGGAAAGAAGCATTTCTGATACCTCTGAATTTTAACAGAAATTTCACTCTATACTACCAGATAGTATTCCCAGTTTCTTACCTTTCTTCTGAATCTGAAGAATGCTGTTATAACACTCATTAGCATCATTTTTATGAGAACAATAGTTGTATAGGTGGCATAAGCCCGGAAGACTTCATTGTCAATAAGCTGGGTCAGTTTAGCCATTTCTCCAGTTCTCACAGATGACCTTTAAAAAAAAAAAAAGTTAGACTAACATTATATTAATCGAAAGTACAGCAACATAACTGTCAGAATAGCTTTCTTTAGCATCACTGCAGCGACAGCACAATTTTTCCTCTGTAAAACATTTATTTCAATAAAAAAATTATTTTTCTTCAGTTTATTTTCACAAAGACATAATGTTATATTTTAAGATTAGAAATTATGCTACCAGTTAATTTTTTCTTCTGTAGTATCTGCTCATTAAACTGTCAAAATATAAACCACCAGAATATTTAACATGATTGCACAAAGAAAATTTAGTTATAGAAACTAGTACACTTTTCCAACAGTATCAGTTAGACCAATTCATTTTAATTAGTGAACTTCCCTAAACAGTTACTCGGATAAAAAGCGTGTGATGAGATACTTACAAAACTGTTCTCCCAATTTAATGTTTAAGGTGCAAAATTACTATTGCCTACCTTTTTTATAAAACAACATAATTATAATTTCACTTCAGTTTCCAAACTAATCAGTATCTTCTCACCCAGCAATAACTTGTGATTAAAAGTTATATATGCATTTTTTTTCTTTCAGACCTAATTCTTAAAAATAAGTTTTAGCACGATGCATGGGCAAAGTTTAAATTCAAAGTCAGGTGTAACAACAAAAAACAGATAACTGTTTGCGCTTTTAGGATGGGAGGTTTAAGCTAATGAAGTGTCTTTCCAATGAGATAGTACCAAAACCACAACCCTATGGAAATGATATCTTGTATCAGCTCCATGGAGTGAAGAATGTAATGAGGACTGAAGGTATATAAAACCAAGGGAATGTCCTCTCATATGTTTAATTTGTGCTCTGCACAGTGTTTTGGCTTACCAAGTGTTATAATCATTCATCTAGTGAGTAGGAATCCATAAAACCAGTATTTTTTAGGTAGTGACTGCTCCATTCATTTTGAGACCAAAATAAACTTTTCTTTGTTAATGTCATTATTTCCTAGGGTTTGCTTCTAATAAAAAATAAAAATAAAAAACCTTACATTATGTACAACTCTAATGTTCCCTCATCTTGACTTCAGTAAGGTGACAGAGGCAGCTACCACAGAAGGAGAGAGGCTCAATTAGCTGGCCGCAGCAGAAGACACTTGTTCCCCAGGGGCATCACTGGTGTGGAGGTGGGCAGCACGGAGGCGAACAGCTGTCTGTTCGGTGAAATGAACCTAAGCTCACCTAGACCTGTCTGGCTGCAACGACGGGATTTTGCTCCTGGTTTTATCCAACCAGAAAGAGCAGTCGGGTCACGAGACCAAGCGGTGTGCCTAGGGACTGTGGGAAATGCAATACAACTCTCCTCTCACGTTACAGTGCAGTATTTCTCAAGATAACCAATGATTCAGCAAAGATTTTCTCAAGAAGCACTAGGGTGTGAACAGAACCTGTAATTTTTGACTTTGTATCACACCAAAAACTGGTATAGTTTCACAGAACAAAGAGAAGATAAATCCGTAGCTTCAGAGCATTTTCCCCTATTGAACATGAAAGCCATGCTGAAAACATGTCCAAGAACTATGCAAAGTCATGAGAAACCATTCATCAACTTCTGTGTATTCTTCTTCCAGCTGGAGCTGTACCACATTTAACCCATTTCCCCTACTTGGAGGGGTCTGCCTCTTCAGATTTCCACAAGGTTCACACCCTGTCTTCACTAGGAAAAGGCAGGATCAAAATCTTACTGAAGACAAAAAATTCAGTTTCCACCCCAGCAGAGAAGCAAAAACAAAACCCTAAATTGTACGACAGAATAGGGTTTAAAGGGACATGCTAATTTTACCGAAACTACAAAATGGCCCGATGTGGAGGCACAACACCCCTCTCCTGGCAAAACCCGCATGCCAAAGGAGGATCTGGTTAAGCGCATGAGCCTGGATCCCAGGCACACGTCCTTCAAAGTGGACAGGGTAAAGAGACTTGCGGGACTTCGCCCTGCTCTTTGCCCGCCCTTGCCGTGCGCAGGCCCATGACTCTGCAAAACCGGCGTGGGACCTTTGGGCGCCCACCCAAACCCCTGGGGGAGCGTCTCACTCGTGCGCTGGCCGACGCAGTCCCCGGGCTGCACCTGCTGCCCCTCCGCTGTCCCCTCTGGGGCAGCCGGGGGGCCCGCCGGCTGGGCGGGCGG